TTGCTGAGGTTAACAATCAGGAGAGTGATTTTTGCTGCTTAGCAGTGGTTCCCACTGAAAGCTGGATTACACTGGTTTAAACAGTATATAAAAGGTCTCCGGGTGAAACTACAGGCTTGGTGATCAGATTATCCTTCACTACACAGTTCCAGTATCCTTTTTGGGTACATTTTTTTTGTTCAGATATCATCCTGCCACTCTGCAAATACCTCCAATCACAGGATTGCTGAAGAATTACAGAAAAAAAAGCAGTAAAACAACAAGTCAGAAAAATTATTTTAACCTGCTGTGCAATAATTAGAAATAAACTGCAGTGAGTGTGTAAAACAGCACATGCCATCACTCACTCCCCTCAGCCAGGATGTCTGTGGGCTCTCAGCTGTTTATCACATTTCATAAGAAGCAGCAGCAAGTGATGCACAGGACTGGCAAATAGAGCAAGTCATTTCTTCTCCCACAGGTTAGATCTTCTACTTTCACATAGAATGTGTGGTCTGTTTGAACCCTTTTCTAATGAAGAAAATAACTGAAAACATCCCTCCGTGACAATTCTGTATCCTGTGACACACTGGCTGCATTACAAGCCCCAAAAATGCCTTTGGTACCTTGGAACCTATGCATACAAAACAGCACTTCAGTCTGAAGAATTAATATGTCAGCTGGTCGTGTTTTTGGCAAGTGAGTGAATTTAATCCAATTACAGCAAAGGTGATGAGGTCAAGCTGACTCCCAGTAAAGAATCACCAGAAAGACTATCCTCAAAACAGAAGACACTGCAGCTTGCTAGACATGCTGTAGTGAAGTTTAGCAATGCTCAGACTTGTTACAACAAAGGTAAGTGCCAAGAAACTGCTTAGTGCCAGCAAACAGAAGAGGAAAGGGATTCAGCAAGAACACACTTTGTAAAGCACACTGTAATCCTAAGCACTTAATTGCCTTTGGCAAGAGCTGCATCCCATTGCTCTCTCAGAAGTCGTTTTATCTGCAACTTGATGCTCACAGCTACAGGGATGAATGGAGTGGGGGAGGAGAAGGAACTGGGGGAGCTAGTGAGAAAACTACAGTTACCAGTCTGTCTTTGATGAACTACCAAAGCAAAATATAAAAATTACTGGTATGTGCAAAGCCTGATCTGCATATTCGATGACTCTCAGAGAAGCAAATGAAACCAACCCTCCTCCAGGCCCTTTAAATCACCTACAGAGGCTGACAAATTTGTTGGAGAGCTACACACCTGTGTTTTTACTTTAGCATTTACATATGTCTAGCCTCACTTTCAGTCATTCTCACTGAACCCATATAGGTCAGCGTGAATTTGAAGGTGTAGCCAGTTTGTTTCTTTTCCCTGCTCATAATGAAGCATTCACAAATATTTTACAATATGTTAACCCATACTCATTGTTCCCACATAAATGGAAGACTTAAAAGTAAATAATGCACCAAGCCTCTTTAATTAAATAAGGAGTTTGGGGGAGGAGTTTCTGCAGACCCTTTTAAATCTTAAAGCCTGCCAACTGGATGAACAAAAGGTAGATTAGGCTCACATGATAAATCCCAGCAAACCTGAAAAGCCTTTGTTAATAAGTCACTAAGGGAATTTTTCTTTTTCCCCCAGAATTTCTGCTCGCCAGAAGTGAGAGTTAAGATTATTCAAGCAGGTTTGGTTTCCAGCAGCATTAAATGGGTATATGCCTCATGGAGCTCTAATCTCCTCATTTCTATAGAGCTCAATTCTCCTTTCATTCCCACTAAAGCAGAACCAGTTATTCCTAGCTTTTATAGAAGGAGCAGCTGCTGAAAGTTTAGAGGCAAAAAAAGTTTATGAAATTAGTTAAGTTTCCCACGAAAACTAAACTGGAATTCTATATCAGCTTTAACAGCAACAACAACAGGAATATAAATGTATTTTCATTACACTTTGGCATTTCTTTCATGTAGCAGGTTGCTAATGAGCCTTTTAAGTTTCCATTCATAAGTTGGTGTTCAGTAGCTTGTTCACAGAGCCAAATGACATGTTAGTCTGGCAATTAGTTTGCTCTTCTGTCTGTAGAGAGGTTTAATGAAAACATTATTAGAGACAGACCTTGCTCTAGCACACTCCATAGACCCTGTACAACTGTTCAGAAAAGACAAGATTTCAGTAAAACCCATACTGTAAAAGACACAGATTTGAGTAAAACCCAGACAACATGGATGACATTTAAAACTGTGCTAAATTAAAAAAAAACAAACTCCAGAGTCCATCCTACCTGGAACCATCTGGCTTCACTGATAAATCCTTTTCAGCACTATAGATTAATCATATCTTCCCTGCATCCAGTGCTGAAATCCAAACAACATGTATAGCCCTAATGTACATCATGCAAGCATTCCCATCAGTGGGATGAAGGTACAAAGCTTGCTAAGATCCTGTTTGGTGTAGTGGATGCCACAGGAAAAGTTTTAAAAGTCTACTGCAACAGGTGCAGCAAGGTGTTTCTAAAACCATGACAGACAGGATCACCTAACCTTCCACGGGAGGTCATTAAAAACCAGAGTAATTCAGCATCAAAGAGAGAAGAGTGTGTAATCAGCAAAGGGAAGAAAAAAATTACCTTCCTTACTCCTAACTCATACCTGTGGAATAAAGTTTGGAAAAGCCATTGAGTACAGCTCCAAACACAGTGGAGGCAAACAACCACAGCATGTTTTATTACATACTTAACAAGTTTATGAATGAAAGGAGATGAGTCTCTCTGCAAAACCAGGATCACTTCCAGCACATGCTAAGACCTGAATTCAAACTATCCAAAAGAGTCCAACAACCACAGACTGTGGCTACCAATTCTCCAGAGTCTAACCAGAAACTTCAGCCACCTCCTTACATAGCTCTCAAATAGAGCTTTTGAGCAAATTTCTGGATTTAGACATCCACAGCTTTAAGGCACAGCATTTGGAGCCCTTCTGAACTCTATTTACATCTGCATTTTGTTTTAGGAGGGCTCTGAAAGTAATTTGTAGCTGTTGGTTTACAGTGTTTCTAAATGCAGTGTATTTGGCCTGTGTAAGGATATTGGTATGGATTTTGATTGACTGTAAAAATCGGATCATCGCCCAGAGGAAGTCCTAATGAACTTAAAGGAGGAGCCAGGGAGAGCAGAGAACACGAAACAGACCAAAAACTGGTGAAAAATTATGCGTCTCTTACATTTAACCTAAGCCAGTGGCAATATGTAATCTCAGCTTATTTCAGACTTTATAAATTCCCTTTCAGCATTATACAAGCAAACCAACAGAATGTCACTGAATTACTTCCTTCATTCTCCTTTGCACCATGCAGCAGGACAACTAAAGCTATGGACACATGCTTGCAACAGAAGACAATCTGATTTATAACTTTCTTTGCAGCAGACCTTTTAAGACTGCCCTACAAGACCAATAAAAATGGGGTCAGTGCCATTAACTGGTGCGAGCCTCCCACATTTAAATAAAATTCTAGTTTGATGTTTATTAAACCAGGCATTTTCTTTCTGCTCATGTCCATCTAAAAAGGTTAAATGCAAGTAATAGGTCACACACTAGCACAGGACATCCTGCCCATCATTCTAGTGGCTGGTCCTCTAGCAAACATTCTCCTACTACAACCAACAAAATCACTCCAGTTACTTTTGGAGTTAAAACACTTGTCCGGTAGCATTCATTTGTAAAAGGCTAAGGATGGGTGTACCATTAGTGTACTATGAAAATGTGTTATCATGAGCAGTTTGTTACAAACTGCAGAGCACACAGTGACAAGCTACAGAAGAACAGTATCACTTAAGGAAACAGAAAATACTGGATATGTGCCAGATGAAAATTTAATATTCACTTATTAGTAAATATAATTTTGGTTTAAAAACAGAAGGCTCCTAAAATGCTCTCCTAGAACCTAGTTCCAGAAACATCTCAGCAAACACATAATTGCACAGGAAGACACATATATTCTGCAAATAACAATGCAAGTCATTAGCAGAATAAAATAAAGATGTGTGCAGGAAGTAGCAGGAGAAAGACAGTCATTCTCTTAGGGATTTAAAATGAGGGAGAAATTACTATTTCTCTTACAGCTCCACTGACAGAAATTACATTTCCAGCACTCCACAAAGAGGTAGCATAATTTTGTAGAGTCTTAGTGGGGAACACACCTTCTGCATGTCATGTAACTCCACACTCACACTGTCCCCCCCTCCAAATGCTTGGAAACTCCTTAGAAGAAGGGTGTGGAATCAGGTATTTGCACTTATCCTCTCAGCCATTCCCTTTGTAGGGAGAATAAAGCAGCCTTCAAAACACTTTTGATTCCACTTCCTGACTCTAGGAGTGGATTTACTTTGCAGAAGACAACACTAGGCAAAATATATCTTTAAAGTGTAAGAGGAGGGAAGGATTCCCCATCTTTTCATCCCTGGTCTCCAGCCCCTGCTAGTCTGCCATGCCACTCCCTTCCAGCCAGAGTGCAGGGAGCAGTGCCAGGCCAGAGTCCAGATGTGCACATACAGGAAAGAGAATTAAAAGGCAAAGAATCCCAAAAAACATATTGCTCCATAGCGTGAAGGCAGCCTGCAGAGAAGTGATTTCACTGCCTCTGCCAAGTTAATGATTTTAAACATTCATCTCTGTCCCCCATCCTCATGAAGGATGTTTAAGTAGTGTCACCAAGATTTAGCCTTCTCTGAGACTAAGCATGTTGTGCAACATGATACAAATTACTTTGAGAACAGCAGAAGTTAAAAAAAAAAATCCCAGTACATGCATTTTGTCTGAAACATTAAAGATGTAGATGTGTAGTGAAGGAATGTTGCTACATGTGCCTCCACATATGCATCTCTATATTTGAAAGGCTCAGGAGGCCAAGAGAAAGCCAGAGAGATTATCCTCACAGCCGAGCCTATAAATGCTTCATCTTAGAAATCCTTTGCTACCTGCCAGTAGAGAACAATAAAACTGTAAAAAATCATACATAAAAGATGACAAGTACTTACTACCAGGTTTGCTCGCTCTGGGACTAAAGCACTCCGGGAGGGGAGCCGTGGGTGAGCCCTCCTCCCTGCCGGAGCGCGGCTGACGCTCTCGCCGGGGCAGGGACGGGAGCGGGGCTGGGGCACCCGCAGCAATCCCGCGGCTGCGGTGCTCCAAGCCCGGCATGTGCGCGCAGCCCGCGCCGTGGGCTGCCTCGCTGCAGCGCCGCTACCTCGCCTCTCTGGAGAAGCAGGTTTCCCTCTTCTCCTCCTCCTCCTTCCCCGCCTACTTCACCTCCCCCTGCGGAGGATGCCGCGGTACCCCTACCCGTGCCCGCCCACGGGCTTCCCTCCGCGTCCCGGGGCGCGGCCGGCACGGAGAGCTCCCGGGAGCGCTGCCGGAGCCGCCTCGCCCCGAGCTGCCCAGCCCTGGGTCTGCGGCTCCGGCCTCAGCCCACCTGCTGCTCGGCTGGGCCGGGCCGGGCCAGGCTGCCCCGGGCACGGCGGCGGCGGGGGAAGCGCGGAGCCCGCGGGGGAAGCGGTGCCCAGCGGCGATACCGCCTGCGGTGGGCGCGGCTGCCCTCGCTCCTTCCCGGTGGAGGCTCCCGCCGCAGCGGCCGGGGGTCCAGGGGGAGCCCCGGGGGCGCCAGGGCCAGCGAAGGGAGAGGCACGGCCAGCCCAGCCCAGCCCGGGTGCTGTGGAGCGCGGCTCGCCCGGGTGGAGCTGCTGCGGATGGAGGATGTGCAGACCTGGGTGCGGGGTGTATGAGGATTGTGTTGGGATGCACATGGGTGCCGTAAGAGCTGTGCGCTGCAGAGCCTGGGGGGATGTGGGAGTTACAGACCTTGTATCGATGGGGTGCATGTATGGGATGTGTAGAGGAGTGTGCTTAGGGGCTCGCATGGGTTGGGAATGAAATACACATGGGAGATCTGTGTGTGTGTGTCTGTGTGTGTTCTGGAGAAACTGCATAGCTTGGATGTAGGGGAGAGCACAGAGGATGTTTGGGAAGGTTTCATGGGACTGGGATAGGATGTCCTAGGTGTGTGTATGGGAAGTGTAGGGGAGCATATGGAGCTACAGCCCTGCCATGCACTGCCAGCTACAGGGCATTGTCTCAGGCACACCGGGGACTCAGGGCTGTCCCTGCCTCCCCCGCCCCATGGGCCTGCCTAGGGCCCGTGCTCTGGCACATCTGCCTAGGGATGTCCAAATCTGGGGCAAGGGATTTATTTTAATAAACCGTTTACAGGTAATTGTGTTAAGTGCTAAAGTAGTGTAGAAGGGTGAGCAAAATAGGGACAAATTGAATCCTCTTCAACAATAAGACCTTAGAACTGCTGGTTTATAATGTGGGGCTGGAGACCCTGAAGAGGAAAGAGAGTATAATCACATACATTGTGACTTAAAGCCTTTTTACTCTGATACTTTTTTTTTTAATTTGCACATTAAAAAACCTAATCAACTGCCTGTTTGAAATGGACGTACAGCCAGATCATAAGCATATATGGGGATAGAGAGACAAAAAGCTCAAGTTCTATGGATTAAGCTTTTCTGTCCCCTAATGTTCCTCTGTGCTGCAGATTGCTGCTAGGTGTGTTAATACATGGTTCTGAACTGCTACAGAAAAAGGAAAGTACAAGCTGTAGAAAACCTGCCTCCTCACCAGGCACTAAGATACTTTTAAGGATGATGGAGCAAACCACAGCCCAGGCTACAATTTTTTTCTCTTCCCTCACTGTTTCATCTTAACAGCCATCAACTCAGAGAAAAGGGGCCAAGATAAGCAAGTCACAGCAAAGCTGTTCTTGGCTGCAGTGATGTCAAGAGGTTTATATTTGCAGAGACCTTGATTCTGAGGTGATGTTTTCTGCCATTGATAGAACATGTGCCCAGCAACCCGAGTAGGCTGTACATGGAGGCAGTGGAGGACACTGCCTTTTCCTGGTGCATCATTCCTGGTAGCTGAGCTTCTGTGAAGGATGACAGCAGTTACCAGCATGAGTCCATGGAAAGTTGTAGCCATCACTTTTGACTTTTTCAGGTGCAGTACAAAGGGAGTGCTCTGGGGGGGAATTGCTGCTAACTCTTCAGGAGGAGGCAGTGTTAGTTTTCTTTTTCCTAATTCCTTTAGATTGACTGTTAGGAGAACAAGACACTTTTGCTGTTTTAAAGGCTTTGGAACTTTGAAAATAGGTTAATATAGGCTTACTTATTTATTTGTTTATTTTTATTTCAACCAGAATCACTGAAAAGGGAATCCTAAAGAAAGGTAATTTTATTGTCAGAGGTTCTGAGTACCTCAGTCCTCACTTGCTCCATTAAACCTGTCTCCCTCTTGGTTATATCCAGCCAGACTGATACTCCTGGGCTTTTTCCTTCTCACTGTATGGTTGTGGCAAATTCTGGACTGCCAAATATTTTTCTCTTTAGCCCAAATCCATCCCTGATCTTTGCTGACGTGCATGACTGTCTGTCTATAGTGGATTTCAGATGGCAGTGCATGCACACAGAGTTCCACAGCTACACACCCATCATGAGCTGTTAAAAGCAAGATGCTTGTTGTATGAACACTTGTTTTCTGCAGATAAATTATTATTTGGCATTAGAATACAGAAGTACATGAAAACCAAAGAGTCACACAGAGCCAGGGACAAGCTTGCTTCAACCTTCTCCATGGTCTGACTGAAGACTTTACTGCCAACACCTTCTTGGAAGGAATTTTATTCTCAACATATTTTAACTGTTAAGAAGATGCTGCTCTGCATTTTGCTTAAGCTTTTCTGTGCTGATTTCTAGCCTAGACTTCATGAAACCTTTTTCTTGTAAATATTCTCATGTCTTACCAGTTGGGAATCGCTGCTCTAGACAATCATGTAATAGCATCGCCGTCTCTGCTTTCAATTTAAAATGATTGCTCAGGCCTTAAACACTCACAAAGAACAAGGCCCAGTGTTGCCAGTGAACCCACATCTGCCTTCAGCTGAGAGGGAGGAGTAGGAGACACTTGAATTGTGATGAAAGCCACTGAGCTCCATAAGGAGAGCAGACGGTGCCCCTGCTGGGTTTCAAGGGATTGACTCATTTTCAGCAGAGCTCATATTTTTTCCTGTTCTGTTTTGCTGGGTTTGTTTTGTTGGTTTTTTTAATTGCACAAGTCAGACCAAGAAAGAAAAGAAAAAAAAAGTGAGGGATCTCCCATCCTAGTAGAAACCAGAATGACATAACACTTAAAGTCCAATCACAGTTCATCCCCAGAGTCCTTTTGGGACCATTTGTCTTCTGGTTGGGCCTTTGTCCTCAGAGCCCTCTAGGATGCTGGAAGTCAATAGTTTCACTTCTTTACATGCTGATCTTAAATCTGATCAAGCTCAAGATAATGAAAGTTCAGATATGACAATTAATGAGTGCTGCTGGCTGCAGTAATCCTGTGCATTCTGAACTGGCTGCTTGAGGGTTGTTTTTTAATTGTAAACATCCTCCATGCAGCTGCTCCAGGGACGTGTTTAGGAAACAGCGGCTGGCTGTGTTTAAAAGATTTCAACTCATCTTGACCTACATTTAGATTTTTGTAGCTTACAAGCCACGGACTGTAACTAACAAAACCCTCAGAGGGCTTATATAGCTTCTGTAGGGCAGGGCACAGGAAATGAGTGAAGGATGAAGTTACCCAGCTGAAGTGTTAGGAAAAGCGAGTTACTGAAGCTGAACTACGGGGTTCAGATGATTATCAGGTGATTAGGAGAACAAGGAGCAGCCCTGCATAGAGGGAGTAAAGATAACCTCGCCTTTTGCTTTGTGCTTTCTTCCCCATTCATTCTTTCAATGAAAATCTTTCTGTAAAATCCTTTAGGCTCCTCTCAGGATAATGTTCAGGAGGTACCTAAACACCATTGTATTTTGTTATTGTGCTGCCTTCTCACTTACACTTCTGCTCCAGAAATTGCTTAAGTTTAGGGCTTGTTCCTGATATGACCCCTAATTAAACAGGGAAACTGCTAGAATAAGATACTTGGGAATTAACTTTATTGGAAAGCACATTTGTCAATTTCCCAGAGCCTATTCTTTCTTTTCTTTCTGACACAAGAGCTTGTTTTGGTTTTTTTTCAGAATGCAAGCACACAGTTGAAAAGCAATGCAGTTTCTAGCCTCTCGAGATTAGAAGATAATCTTCTAAAAAGTGAGCCTCTATAATATCTTCCCAAATCTGCAGGCAGACTAAATTATCATCCTCATCCTGCTTATGTCTTTGCTGATTGTGAACATAGAAAGCATTAAAAGCCTGTGAGTTTCATGCTGCACATAGAGATTGAGTATGTAAGGAGGGAGGAAGCCAAGAGGTCAGACACGACAGTAGTAGTACTAAGCATTGACATACAACATTTAGGGCAGCATCAGTTTATTTGGCTCAGGAGAAAGACAACTTGGTTAGATGTGCCAGCAAAAGACCACACAGGTGGTTCATGCCTATCTGGTGACTTGTGCAGGTATCTGAGCCTTTATACTTCTATGTTTGATGGAAAGAGGCAACAGGGCTGTGAGCATTTGGCTGCTGGGGAAATTTCAGATTTGGAAACTCAGCAGCTGTTATATCATCTTGTATTTAGAGGCTGGAACAAGATAAGCTAGTGAATAAACAAGGAAGATCTAGCAATTTGATTGATTTTAATAGCACAACTGAATTGCACAACTTGTGTTTCAAACTAACAGACTGTTCAGACTAGCAGACCAAATATTTGGTTGAACTACAAATATTCTGAATCTTCATTTTTCTAAAGCCACAGGTGGTGGCAGAGAGCTTCAACTTTCATAGATTACAGCATCAAAACCAGTAACTACTTCTGACTGTTGCTGAATGAAAACTGTCAGCAGGGTGCTGTTGGTTTTCATGGGGCAGATAAAGGGAGTGGTTCCTCAGTGTTGTGCAAATGGACACAGAGAAACAGATTGAGCCTGCAAATCAATCGTAGGCTCACAGAACATCCTGAGGTGAAAGAGACCTACAGGTCTCCAAAGGGCAGCTCCTGGCCCTGCCCAGGACACCTCAAGAGTCACACCATGAGCCTGAGAGCACTTTCCAAACACTTTGGCTGGTGCTGTGACCACTGCCCTGGGGAGCCTGTTCCAGTGCCCAGCCACTGGAAGGGTGAAGAACCTTTTCCTAATATCCAACACAAACCTTCTTATGGTTTACTGTAAAGACAGTCAACAGAAGAAAAGTCTTCCCACCCTGCACTGTGCAGTTAGCTGTGTGC